CCGGGGTGGGCGTGACGTTGAGGGTGGCCGCCCACAACGCCCGCGGCAGGAGTGACGTCATTCGTTTGGAGGTGCACACGGCGAGCGCCCAGCAGCACGCTGCTCCAGGTCTGTGTCTGCGGCCCAAAGGTGTGTGTCTGTGGCCCCAGGTGTGTGTCTGTGGCCCCAGGTGTGTGTCTGTGGCCCCAGGTGTGTGTCTGTGGCCCCAGGTGTGTGTCTGCGGTCCCAGGTGTGTGTCTGTGGCCTCAGGTGTGTGTCTGTGGCCCCAGGTGTGTGTCTGTGGCCCCAGGTGTGTGTCTGCGGTCCCAGGTGTGTGTCTGTGGCCCCAGGTGTGTGTCTGTGGCCCCAGGTGTGTGTCTGTGGCCCCAGGTGTGTGTCTGCGGTCCCAGGTGTGTGTCTGCGGCCCCCAGGTGTGTGTCTGTGGCCCCAGGTGTGTGCCTGCGGTCCCCAGGTGTGTGTCTGTGGCCCTAGGTGTGTGTATGTGGCCCCAGGTGTGTGTCTGCGGCCCCCAGGTGTGTGTTTGCGGCCCCCAGGTGTGTGTCTGTGGCCCCAGGTGTGTGTCTGTGGCCCCAGGTGTGTGTCTGTGGCTCCCAGGTGTGTCTACGGCCCAAAGGTGTGTGTCTGCGGCCCCAGGTGTGTGTCTGTGGCCCCAGGTGTGTGTCTGCGGTCCCCAGGTGTGTGTCTGTGGCCCCAGATGTGTGTCTGCGGTCCCAGGTGTGTGTCTGCGGTCCCCAGGTGTGTGTCTGTGGCCCCAGGTGTGTGTCTGCGGTCCCCAGGTGTGTGTCTGTGGCCCCAGGTGTGTGTCTGTGGCCCCAGGTGTGTGTCTGCGGTCCCAGGTGTGTGTCTGCGGCCCCCAGGTGTGTGTCTGTGGCCCAGGTGTGTGCCTGCGGTCCCCAGGTGTGTGTCTGTGGCCCTAGGTGTGTGTATGTGGCCCCAGGTGTGTGTCTGCGGCCCCCAGGTGTGTGTCTGCGGCCCCCAGGTGTGTGTCTGTGGCCCCAGGTGTGTGTCTGTGGCCCCAGGTGTGTGTCTGTGGCTCCCAGGTGTGTCTGCGGCCCAAAGGTGTGTGTCTGCGGCCCCAGGTGTGTGTCTGTGGCCCCAGGTGTGTGCCTGCGGTCCCCAAGTGGGTGTCTGTGGCCCCAGGTGTGTGTCTGCGGTCCCCAGGTGTGTGTCTGTGGCCCCAGGTGTGTGTCTGCGGGCCCAGGTGTGTGTCTGCGGGCCCCAGGTGTGTGTGTTATCTATGCCCCCCAGGTTGTGCTAGTAACAGTGTTGTAATGTGGTGTACCCTGATGTCAACAAACCTGCTAACAACAACATTCTCTCCACAGTGTTGCAGTTCACATTGCGCAGCGTTGCCTTACATCGCGCACGTCACTTTGCGTCTCCAGGTCAATATATAAGGGGAATAATGGATTGATTTGTTGCGTTCTGGTACGAGCGCTTGTATGATGTATTAGTCGTTGTATTATGTATGTGACGCCCATTGTATTGTTGTGGGTATTAAAGCGTAATTCTTCGGTGCATAGAAAATGGTACTCACAAATGTAGGTACTGTTAGATGGGGTCTCTCTCTCTCTCTCTCTCTCTCTCTCTCTCTCTCTCTCTCTCTCTCTCTCTCTCTCTCTCTCTCTCTCTCTCTCTCTCTCTCTCTCTCTCTCTCTCTCCCTCTCCCTCTCCCTCTCTCTCTCTCTCTCTCTCTCTCTCTCTCTCCTCTCTCTCTCTCTCTCTCTCTCTCTCTCTCTCTCTCTCTCTCCCCTCTCCTCTCTCCTCTCTCTCTCTCTCTCTCTCTCTCTCTCTCTCTCTCTCTCTCTCTCTCTCTCTCTCTCTCTCTCTCTCTCTCTCTCTCTCTCTCTCTCTCTCATTAATAACTACGATCATTTATCAACATGTCTTTCTTATTCATTTATTCAGTCTTTCTTATTTCTTATTATATGCAAAATATATAATAGTTTCCGATCAACTTTGGAGCTATGGGAGGATATATAAGAACAAAATAATTTTGTTTTTATATTTAGCCTGGCATTGCTGGCACGCCAAAAATCTGTCAATGCTTTTTTGCAATACTCAGTTAAATCACTTTATGATCGTGGCATGCTGTTCCCTCTGAAATTCTGGTTATCTGGACCCAGCCCTGTGGGGCACGGACCCCACAGGAATCAGGGTGCAAAATTGGCTGAGACTATCCACAAGTGCCTGGCCTCCAATTTCGTAAAGACAATTTCCATTTCTAGATAAAGATAAATATTGTTCATGTATAGTAATACCTTCAACAGGTTATGTTAGATGTTTTGATTCAGTTGGCAATTACTTGTTTTTGCAGTCTGTTCTCAAACCAGGCTCGTTAAAGCGGCGGCTGTCCTCCAAAGATGCTTTCGTCAATGTTAACATAATGTGTATTAAAATAGGTTTGCTATCATATATAAGTTAAAATTATATATTGAAGTTCTGCAACTGTAAAAAATATTGTATATTAAAGTTCTGCAACGGGTCGACTGTATAACCTTGGTTGGGCTTCAGTTCGGGGCCTCCAGACCCACTCAGAGAACTTAGTAGAGTTGTGGGTTGGTCAAGTTTCGTACCATCGTGGCGGAGTCGGTTAAGGCAAGCTTCAGGGAATCGCCAGAACGCGAGTTCAAGCCGCTCCATTGCCACAAAATGGAGTTCATTTATACATCAAGCCATTGTGATGTCATTGCGTTCTAAAATTAATTTTTGAGAGTTACTTTTTCAACTTCCTTCTCAGGTGAGGAAAAACATAAGAGAAATGATAAGATTCGTGCTGGAGTCATTGATCTTTTCTGTCATATTGAGTATTAGTGTATCTGTGCTCTGTTTGGTTTGCTTATGTGCAAATATCCATGTTTGTATGCATCGTGTGTGTGAGTGTGTGTGTGTGTTGCGTGTATGTGTGTGTGTGTGTGTGTGTGTGTGTGTGTGTGTGTGTGTGTGTGTGTGTGTGGTGTGTGTGTGTGTGTGTGTGTGTGTGTGTGTGTGTGTTGCGCGTGCGTGTGTTGCGGGCATGTGTGAGTGTGTGTGTGTTGCGTGCGTGTGTGTGAGTATATTTCACACAACACAACAGCGAGGGAATTACATTTATTAATTAAACACATAAACGTCCTCCATATTTTAATCTAAATATGACACAAACAAAAATTATTGAAACATTAAAACGAACTTACACACTAACTCATACCAAAAAAAAAATATCCGTGTATAATGTATGAAGATTTATGCCTTATAGTTTTTATCGTAAAAATAAATGATGTTAACATAAATAAATTTAAATTCATGTTTATTAGTCATTTAATAACAACATTTCGTAGATTATATGTATATATATATATATATATATATATATATATATATATATATATATATATATATATATATATATATATATATATATATATATGTCGTACCTAGTAGCCAGAACGCACTTCTCAGCCTACTATGCAAGGCCGATTTGCCTAATAAGCCAAGTTTTCATGAATTAATTGTTTTTCGACTACCTAACCTACCTAACCTAACCTAACCTAACTTTTTCGGCTACCTAACCAAACCTAACCTATAAAGATAGGTTAGGTTAGGTTAGGTAGGGTTGGTTAGGTTCGGTCATATATCTACGTTCATTTTTACTCCAATAAAAAAAAATTGACCTCATACATAATGAAATGGGTAGCTTTATCATTTCATAAGAAAAAAAATAGAGAAAATATATTAATTCAGGAAAACTTGGCTTATTAGGCAAATCGGGCTTTGAATAGTAGGCCAAAAAGTGACTTCTGGCTACTAGGTACGACATATATATATATATATATATATACAGGTTTTATTTCATTTTATTCTTCTTCGAATTTAAATCAATTTATTAACTCGAAACATTTGATATCTCAGGCTCAGACTGGGGCGTGCTGGGGGTACCCCCGCTGCTGGGGGCTATCGTGGGCGTGGGTATCGTGCTGGTTATCGTCTTAATCACGGGCATAGTCATTGCCAAACACACCTGGCGCCCACAGCCGCCCACACACACCCACACCCTAGTGATGACGCCAGCCCCATCACAACCCGACTCCTGCTCCTCCGACACATACGACCCCGACGTCGTGTCGTCGCTCCGACGCCACGCCGACAACCTCGACGTCCTCCCGCAAGCCGACTACGCGCATAAGACCGCATCGGGGAAGTCGCATGCGACGCACCGACAGGCGGTGGTGCGGACGCACGGGCATGGCCAGAATGTCACCAGGGCGTATGTCAAGAGACGGGGAGGGAATCACCCGTCAATCATGAGAGGCTTCTGTCTTCATAGACAGGTAGGGTGCTCCAAAGAGACAGGTAAGGTTCTCCAAGAAGACAGGTAAGGTCCTTCAAGGAGACCGGTAAGCTGCTCCAAGGAGACAGGTAAGGTGCTCCAAGGAGACAGGTAAGGTGCTACAAGAAGACAGGTAAGGTGCTTCAAGGAGACAGGTAAGGTGCTACAAGAAGACAGGTAAGGTGCTTCAAGGGGACAGGTAAAGCACTCCAAGGAGACAGGTAAAGTTCTTCAAGGAGACAGGTAAGGTGCTACAAGAAGACAGGTAAGGTGCTTCAAGGAGACAGGTAAAGTTATTCAAGGAGACAGGTAAAGTTCTTTAAGGAGACAGGTAAGGTGCTCCAAGGAGACAGGTAAGGTGCTACAAGGAGACAGGTAAAACACTCCAAGGTGACAGGTAAGGAACTCCAAACTCTCACGAGCAGTCTTGATCATAATATAAAACCGTATGATTTGATAACAATAATTACACAAAGTCTAGTAACAGTGACTAATAGTGCAATTAAAATGACTATGATTCTAATGATATTAATTTTCCCTGAGGCTATTGTTTATTATTTTAGTGTAGCCAATAATTATATAAATAATATTAAAAAAACAAATAATTGTAATAATAATTATAATAATAGTAATAATAAAGATAATATAATAATTATTATTATTATGAACTGAAATATTTGGTATGTTATCATACAGGACAGTTCCTTCGGTGAATCTAACAGCGATGACTCTGAGGATGCTGACTCAGATTCCACCTTCACTGATCTGACGGCCGCAGGTCGAGCCGCAGCCGCCCTGCCGCCTGCGGTCATGTACAGTAACTCCTTGCCGCGTGCGACCAAGAGAGAGTTCCACCACATCGCTTCCTCCTCACTGGACCTGCAGCTGCGTTCCTGCCAGCGCTCCCAGGTAATGGCGGCTTCTAGTGAGGTGATACAGAGGCTTCCTTCTCTTGCTAGAAATCCCAGAAGAGCCACGCCTGCCTCCTCCGAGGAACTGCGGCACATAACGTCATCCGCGGAAGAGCTTCATCCGCTGCTATTCGCCAGCGATCTCCGCCAGCTGCTGTCTTCAGGAGATTTACGGCATATTTCCTTTTCCGGGACGGAGTTGAGGATGATTCCTTCGACGGGGACGTGGCCGCCTATGGGCTCCTCCTCAGGAGAGCTGAGAGTGCCACTGCCAGCTTCTGTAACCATGCACTCGTTGGCCACCGAGGGGCTGCAGATTCTGCCCACTGCACCATCGTCTTCTTCTTCACCTTGGGACGCTCAGACCATGTCATCGTTCAAGCAGTTGCCGCCGTCTTTGCCCTCTGGTTCAGGAATGGAGCCACAACTGTCTTACGCAGAAATACAGTCACAAGCACCTCGCCTTCAGCTACAGGAACGGCCCCCTGGCGAAGTGTTACAGTCGCGGTCGTCTCGAGGTGTTTCATCGCGGACACCACACGAAGAGACTCAGCCCCGGCCGCCTTGCATAGACCCGCAATCACGATTCTTTTATACAAATCCCCAGCCACGCTCGCCTTGTTCCGAACATCGACCGATGTCCTACGGACCAGAGTTCCATCCACAGGCACAGCATGAATACCCGCAGCATCAACAGCAAGAGACGTGTCTGCAACACCTGCCATCTACTACATCATCGTCATCCATGTACTATACACCAGCGCCTTGCTGTGAGCACCGGACGACGATACCCTGTTTAGACCCTCAACCAAGACCATCCTGTCTAAAGCAGAGGTCAGTGTCACCACCACCACTATCATGTGTAGAGTTAGACCCGCCAGTGTCGCTAAGAGAGTTGCAGCCTCCTTCCCCCAGAGAGGAGATGCAGGAAGAAATGCAGCCTCTTCTGCCTCTAGTAGATCTGCAGCCTCCGCCCTCCTTCAGAAGCTCTCCGCCGGCAATGGCCTCATGCACTACTATATTCTCGGTGCCCTGTAATTTTCCATCACATCCTCTAGCTATAGGGACGCAGCCAAGTTCCCCGGTGAGATGCTCAACACCTGCGTCCAATGAAACAGTATCGTCCGCTGTTCCTAGTGTTGATGGGTCGCCAGTATATCCTACGGAAGCTGAAACTTCCCCTTCCACAGTGATTCATCCCGCAACGCCAACGTCCTTGTCGATGCAAAAGCTCCTCAGATTTTCCGAAGAAAATCCTAGTTATTCCACTGGGAATCTTCGCTGTCCTTTCGCCAAAGATGAGTTTGGTCTTCCAGGAAAAGTCCCAGCAGCATCGATATCGAGATCTCTTCATGACCAGACGCTGAGACCGTCGGCAAGCTTTTCCTATTCCACTCCGGATACTGAAACACAGCATTCACCTGCAACAAGCAACACAAATGGTGCAACTTATACCTCAACAGCAACCTTCAAAACAAGTGGAAAACAAGTATCTTTTAGCGACGGAGGAAGCCACCAGGCACCGGTGAAATCTGCAGGTAGCAAAGGTGAAAATCGATGTGTTCAGTCGTTTTCCTGCGTTGAGCTATCAGATCGCGCCCCATCGAAATTCCCGTCGATAGAGGCAGCGTCTGGCAGAGAAGTCCCGTGCTCTCCCAGAAGGGGAACGACGGCAAACAGTTCTCCAAAGCACATTACCGGATCACAGTGTTCTTCGAGAATGCCTGAGGCCTCGTCAGGGACTCTCGAGAAGCAAAATGCTCACCGTGAATACGGTTCTCCATCTCAGCGAGCTCGAGTATCTCCGCAGTTGTCTCTGGTCAACTCAGAAGCTGTTCGGGTGCTCAGCGAACAGTCCCAAGACTCCGTCAAGCAAGTCGTTCCTTGAGAAAACATTCAAGAGCCACTCATGTTGCTGGCAACCCTAGAGTGTTCCTGAAACCTTTCCTATCGAAGATCATCAAGAGTCTCGCTCACTGTAGAGTTTTTTTCTCGCGACTAAAGAAATAAATTTCGTGTGCCTGCCAAACAGGAATATTCTTGTGTTGATGATATGTTTCAGGAAACAAGGGAAGACTGTGCTATACTGACACAAATACTGACGTCCAATCTTGCGTAAGTTATCGACAGATCCCTGATTGATCCGTGGCTCGCTCATTGCTCTGTGGAGGGTTGCAAGTGTTGTTGAGTTGCAACCCCAGCTCTGCAAGTTCTCGGTGGTGCTTGGGGGGTTCACATCCAGACAGTCTGATCCCCTGCCCCCTGATCTTACAGGGACAGCATGGAGGAGCATCCGGGTTGGCTGATGCTGCCCCCTGCCCTCAGCACGAGGCAGTTCTCAGCACTCTGCTACTCCGACAGAATATATATCCTATTTGAATGATATATTTTTCGCTTTCATATTTAGCCTATATGAAATTATTACCTGAATATTGACTAAAACACAATATGAAACATTTTTTATAGCAAACAACTATCAGCATAATATGTTATTAAATCACATACATACACACACACACACACACACACACACACACACACACACACACACACACACACACACACACAAGTTTATAAGATCGATGTTAATAGATCATAACACATTTAGGTCCGACAAGACCACGTTATGACAGTATTCCTTGGTTTACATCTGTGAGTGACCAATAACACACATCACACAAAGCAGTGAGTTATAGCTCATGTTTTGTCAAATTAATGTTTATAAGGAAGTTGGATTTCAAGTCAAAAGTTACGCTACGTGCTTCAGAGATGCCAAAAAGATTCACTACAAGAAGATTCACTACAAGAAGTGGCATGTCACGTCCAACATGGCACTACTTGCTTCAAAGTGCCAATGCACGTCATATAGCTTCATTATACCGAAACTACAAGCTTCACAATTACGGGATCCCGGGTTCGATCCCCTAGCAAGACAGAAATGGTTAGGCACGTTCTGTTCCACCTAATGCCTCTGTGGTAAGGGGCCAAATTCACGAAGCAGTTACGCATGTACTTACGAACGTGTACATCTTTCCTCAATCTTTGACGGCTTTGGTTACATTTATTAAACAGTTTACAAGCACGAAAACTTGCTAATCAACTGTTGTTATTGTTATAAACAGCCTCCTGGTGCTTCGTAGCTCATTAACTGTTTAATATTTGTAAACAAAGCCGCCAAAGATTGATAAAAGGTGTACAGGTTTTTAAGTGCTTGCGTAACTGCTTCGTGAATCTGGCCCAAGGTCAGTAGGTCGACCTTAGGCGACCTTAAATGGGAACAAGCATGTTCGCATTTGTGTTGCTCAATGGCAAGGTGATTCACTTTTACTTCTGTCTCCAAACATTTACCGCCGAGTGTTGTCGGGAGGTGAGTTGAGGGTCTGACGACTTTCAATTCTTTTGAACAGTCAGTGATGATTGATTGATAGAGATTAAGTCACACAGGAGGTGGCACGGGCATGAATAGCCCGTAAGGAACCGTCAGTGTGGTGAAGCGAGTTAAGTAATGGATGCGCTAAGGTGCATTGAGTCCTGGCTACCTGGGTTCTAATCCTTCTGGGATGATGAGTTTTTGGTTATATATATATATATATATATATATATATATATATATATATATATATATATATATATATATATATATATATATATATATATATATATATATATATATATATATATATATATATATATATATATATATATATATATGTCGTACCTAGTAGCCAGAACGCACTTCTCAGCCTACTATGCAAGGCCCGATTTGCCTAATAAGCCAAGTTTTCATGAATTAATTGTTTTTCGACTACCTAACCTACCTAACCTAACCTAACCTAACTTTTTCGGCTACCTAACCAAACCTAACCTATGAAGATAGGTTAGGTTAGGTTAGGTTGGGTTGGTTAGGTTCGGTCATATATCTACGTTAATTTTAACTCCAATAAAAAAAAATTGACCTCATACATAATGAAATGGGTAGCTTTATCATTTCATAAGAAAAAAATTAGAAAAATATATTAATTCAGGAAAACTTGGCTTATTAGGCAAATCGGGCCTTGAATAGTAGGCCAAAAAGTGAGTTCTGGCTACTAGGTACGACATATATATATATATATATATATATATATATATATATATATATATATATATATATATATATATATATATATATATATATATATAGAGTCGGACAACGTACCCTTTGTAAGGGACAGAAATTAAAGCGTTAGTATAAGTTATGAAGTGGCCTTACACAACCCGTTCTCACACTAGGCTGTTTAAAGCAGCGGCCGTCCTCCCCAGACGCATTCATCAATTTTAACATCCTGCGCATTAACAATTGGTTTGTTCTCATACATAATTTAATATTCTTATATATAAAAATTGTATCTATATATTTTGGCGTAGGTTAGGTGAGGTTAGGCGCTTAGGTTCTGTTGGTAATTATTTGAATTTATATGTTCGTGGGTGAAGCATTTATAGAATTGTGGTTCGAACAGAGGACGTGAGCGAAGCACTTGTTCCGGAAGTGTTCGGATGTCATCAGTTGTGAGTCGTGTGTGTAAACCACTTTTCATTCATAAACAGGGGGGTTTGGCGGCTGGATTGACGAGCTTGGATCTTTATATGCGAGAACAGATTGCCTTACAAGCCTAAAGTGTCACTACCAGCTGCACACTTCCAACACATGTCGTAAAGTAGCACATCACACTGCCTTAACAACACAAGTAACACAACTCCCAACAAAGACAGTAAAATAAACAATGTATCTTGTGGAAATAACAGTGAATGCAAACTACGAAGAACAACTGTCAACTGTACATTATTTGTCAACAGCGGATCTATATGTGCCTGAACAAAATTAGATTATTATATGTAAATCTTTGTCAAACGTCTAACGCACACATAAATACAAACTGGAACGCTATTTACTTATTTATTTATGTATTTATTATTTTATTATTTTATTAATTTATTTATATACAAGAAGGTACATTGGGTTTATGAGAGTACATAGCATTGACTTTTTACTTTCTTGTAAAGCTAGTGTAACCTCTCACAGTAATTTGTAATGTACGGAAGACTGAGGATGACGAGACGGTGGAGTCGTTGTTCGTATGAGACTCGGTTCATGAAGGTTTTCCCGACAACGACTTGCCTGAAATAACGTCAGTACTTGGCGATCTATGGTAGTGTCTGGGTGATTACTGTGAACTCTGTATACACAGTTTCGTATTTGGCAACGAAGACTGATGACTTGTTGCGTGAAAAGAGGACTGGAAAAAATGTCATATGGAAAGAATGTGAGTGTTAAAAGATTCGTTGTTGATGATCAAATATTTTATGGTTCTTCATTCGATCCTCCTGCTGTCGTAGCCTCAGATTCAACAATAACACCACCACCATCGTTCTGGAGCCTCGAACCGCCGTGTTGAATGTGCTCAAACATTCTAATTTGCATGGATCTAATTTGCCGACTTCCCTTACCTACATTAGTCTATCGACCAGAGGCTGCTTACCTTGGAGACCGGCTGCGGATATGGGTACGCACTGGCCCGAAACTAGGCGTTGCGGGCATGTGCAGGTAAGCAATATTTCAACATGAAACTCTGAGCCAGGATGGTTATGTGCATGTGGCCCGACCTCATAATACAATAGTCAAATGCTCGTTAATCTAGCCGCCAAACTCATTTCCCTGTTCATCAATATTTACACATCACTAACAACTCATCACATTCAAGCTTTTCTTAACAAGTGTAAATGCAAATAACTTCCAACATAATCAAAATACCTAGGCTTATTTTATACAAAATTATAATTAATTTAACTAATATATATATATATATATATATATATATATATATATATATATATATATATATATATATATATGTCGTACCTAGTAGCCAGAACTCACTTCTCAGCCTACTATGCAAGGCCCGATTTGCCTAATAAGCCAAGTTTTCATGAATTAATGTTTTTTCGTCTGCCTAACCTACCTAACCTAACATAACCTAGCTTTTTTTGGCTACCTAACCTAACCTTACCTATATATATAGGTTAGGTTAGGTTAGGTAGGGTTGGTTAGGTTCGGTCATATATCTACGTCAATTTTAACTCCAATAAAAAAAAATTGACCTCATACATAGTGAAAAGGGTAGCTTTATCATTTCATAAGAAAAAATTATAGTAAATATATTAATTCAGGAAAACTTGGCTTATTAGGCAAATCGGGCCTTGAATAGTAGGCTGAGAAGTGAGTTCTGGCTACTAGGTACGACATATATATATATATATATATATATATATATATATATATATATATATATATATATATATATATATATATATATATATATATATAATATCCACGCTGTAGAGGACGGGCTGTCACAACATGAACACAATGAAGGTATTTTGAAGCAACACAAGGATCAATTTATCTGACATTCCAAATGACGGTCCAACATTCTAACAATGTTGTTTATATATTTCGTAACGATTTAACACGTGGCACAAGTGTTAAGGGAAGCATACATAGCTTAAGTAAATGTTAAGTCAATTTGAGCTCTTTAATTGCGTTTGAATTCGGAATAAATTATTAGTCTCTGATCGTGAGCTATGTCTTGGCTTTGTGTGATATTCTCGTTTTCTTTTAACAGCACTGAAATAATTTCCGGGGAATGGAGGGGGGAAACATATACATATTTCTCTCTCACACACACACACACATTAGTGCATGTGTACGTTTATATAATACAGTGTTCTATAAGCAACATGTAAGATAACATGGCTGAGAACATATTTGTGAAGGGAGATAAGGTAACCTAGGAACTGGTCCAAATAAACATTGCTCGTTGGTAAGGTAAACTCACCCCATGTTTATTTTTCCTTTGTATGTGTTTGTATAATTGATTTCAATGAATACAGAGGGAAAATTATGCGTACGTTTTATTGACCTTATTATAATTTGTCTCCTGCTTAGACAAAATATATAATGTAGATAGTTGTTTTAATAGTACTAGTAAAGTTCTTTCTAAATATGAGTTACTGTTTTATTTAATAATTATTAATTAGTGTAATAATAATAGTTTATTTAAAGAGGTTATAACTTTAAAGGTATAGAGTTATACCGCTTAGATATATAGCAATATTATATAACATAATACCCTTAGTGGTATAGCCCCGCTTCCCGGTGTTAATACAATGGGAGTATACCTTAAAAACAAATCCACAAGGGCCGTGACGAGGATTCGAACCTACGTCCGAGATCATCCCAGACACTGCCTTTATCGACTTAACTACGACATGGTCAAAAAGAGTCGAAATCGAAGTTCTACTGAACTTACTGGATCCTGCAGCCTCTCCGAGACACAAACCAGGGTTTTACACAACTCCCCCCATGCACTCGAGCTATGTCAATAGGCCGTTCTCCCTCTTCGCCCTTACTTCATTACACACACAAATCACAATAGCGTGATGCATCAAACGAACAAATCCACAGAGGCCGTGACGAGGATTCGAACCTACGTCTTTAAGGTAAGAGTATACCTTAGTCCTAGACTATGCTGAAGACTAAATATACTTACTGGTTGTTCAGTAAACTGTTTTCATGACCTTAATACATCCTTGTTGTTGATAGTTCCGAAGCCTAACCCAGAATTCAAAATAATTATTTATACCAAAAGTCTACATCGTATTGCACTTAAATAAATATGCATGGCACAGCACAGCAATATCTGCAACAAGGCTGTTAAACACGCGAAGCGATTCAGCTAGTTGCGTTATTACCAACTTTTATCAAATATTTTCCGAGTTGCAAAACACTGACGAATATATTTCAGCAATTTTAGAAAGTATTTTGAATTCGGGATTTATTCAGCAATTTAAAAGTATAACATAAAGTCGAACAGACTGCAGAAATTCCTCTAAGGGAGTAGAGACACTCTGGAAATCCTCCACAGGTAATGATGGAAATGCCGTGCTAATAGAGGTTTTAAATCCGGTTAGGGTGACCGGATATAAATATTCACCTGATATTAGACCCAGACTTAATGACCGCGGTATGACATAGTTTGTGAAGAATCTTGGTGATTCGAACACAAAAGTCATGTTGTATCTCAGGATAATTTTATAGAACGCCGAGTAAATGGATCCTGAGCCACACAAGGAGCTGAGTAAATGGTTCATGAGTAATACAAGGCGAAAAGGTAAGGTTTCCTGAGCCGCGTATAAGGCGTTGAACAAAGGGTTTCCTGAGCCGGGTATAAGGCGTTGAACAAAGGGTTTCCTGAGCCGGGTATAAGGCGTTGAACAAAGGGTTTCCTGAGCCGGGTATAAGGCGTTGAACAAAGGGTTTCCTGAGCCGGGTATAAAGCGTTGAACAAAGGGTTTCCTGAGCCGCGTGTAAGGTGTTGAACAAGGGTTTCCTGAGCCGCGTATAAGGGTTTCCTGAGCCGCGTATAAGGAGTTGAACAAAGGGTTTCCTGAGCCGCGTATAAGGCGTTGAACAAAGGGTTTCCTGAGCCGCGTATAAGGCGTTGAGCGAAGGGTTTCCTGACAAAGGGAATAAAGAGTTTCCTGAGCCGCGTATATGGCGTTGAGCAAAGGGTTTCCTGAGCCCCGTATAAGGCGTTGAGCAAAGGGATTCCTGAGCCGCGTATAAGGCGTTGAACGAAGGGTTTCGAAACCATATGAGGCGCTAAATAAATGGCTCCTGAGCCAAGCAAGGCGCCGAGTGAATGTTTCCAGAGTCATACGAGGCTTTGAGCAAAGAGTTCCTGAGCCACGCCTAGAATATTAATCCCATTGTGTCTATAGTCGCCATTAATAATACCTTAACTGAATTATCTAATATGTATACATAGAAAATATGTATATATCTAACATGTGTGTAAATCATGAAAAATAAACACGTGGTTAAAAATGTGACTCCTTCTGAAGATGTATTAATATACGAAAGTACTTAAGGAAATTCCTGTTTCAATTTTCCTCCGTGGTCTGACACTGTCATATATCTAACATGTATATAATAATTATCTAATGTGTATTTTGCTGTTAGCAATTAGTATGCCGAGGAAAGCAGTTGATAGTTGTTAAGGTCGACATATAATTTAACAATTAAAAGACTTCCGCAGATAATTCATCAATCATCAATATTAAGATACAGGGCTGCTACTTCTTAAGTCTTCGTAGGTTGATGTACCTAAAAGAGTGCTTGATGACTTTAACTTTAGAATATTATATATTTGGTATTGATGCCACAGGTATTGGTATTGTTGATACAGGTTTGAAGACCGAGTGGAGTAACGCGGGGATTCGAACTCTCGACCTGGGTATTCCCAAGCCGCGCACCTTACCTCTGAACCTCGACATGGTTCAATTTATACAACCTGGGATTTCACCGAGTCCACAGGGCGTCCGGAGGCCCCTACTGAACCCAGTCCTACTAAAGCCAGTCTAAGCGTTACACATCTCTCCCCATAAGCTCTCTGGTATAGGTAATGGCGTTCCCCCATATTCTCCAGCTTCAAATGCACCAGAACATCACACTAGCGTGGTGTGTGTGTGTGTGTCAATCAGGTTAGAGAGCGATTTCCTTGTGTATTAGATGCTGGGGTGTAGGGTGGGGAATTCCATCTTACCTGTGATATACCTTATCAAAAGCGTTCGTGATGTCCGTGTACACTGTCCAACCGCTTGAATTGGTCCGTACGGACACAGTCTCGCTCCTTGCAGGTCGGCGTTCAATCCCCGACGGTCCACGTGATTCAGCACAGTTCCTTCTCTGCGTCCTGTTTTAGCTATACTTGTCCTCATATCCCTTCCAAATGCTACATAGGGGAATATTGGTATATATGTATTCTCTCCTGATAATTTCCTTACCTTACAGCTAATGGGAATCCTTTGTATAAATGTCAAGAAACGCTGCCCGAAACGCAGTGCATATTTGTGGCTCTAGGCATAGTATACACTATACACATAGTATACACTAGCTCTGTCTAGAAAGCCAACATTCTGCTTGAAACTCATTTTGTACGTATGAACTTATACCTGAATAAAATATTATTATTATTATTATTATTATTATTATTATTATTATTATTATTATTATTAAATAGTTACCGTTTCCAAAACTGTTAACATATTAAACAGTCAGGATTTATTTGTTACAAAACCATATATTGTTGCTTTTTTGCAAGCGTGTGCGTTGTGACATGATGAATGTCACTCCCTCAAGAGTCTCTCTCTCTGAGTTTATACAGATGTGAGAGGCTGCGTGGGCTGGCTGTTGGCCTCTAGTTTCCTGCTCGACTATTTCTACCTTTTTTTTAACTATATAGGGAGTGACATTTGCATGTTTCCAATCTAGGAGGAAGGGAAGGGACGTTTCCTTGCTCTAGGGGGATTTCAGTGAATGTGAGGCTGAGGCTAACGTTGCTATCACTTTTACTGAACTCAATTGACTCTCTCTCTCTTGTACAACTTGTATTTCCTGACATTCAGAAGTACACTAAAACCTTAAGTCACATATTTTCTCTGTGGAGACAGAGAGAGAAAAACAGGCGAAAATCCAGTTACAGAAATAATGGGATATAGACAGGTACACTCAGACATGAGGACCAGACCACACACTAGAAGGTGAAGGGACGACGATGTTTCGGTCTGTCCTGGACCATTCACAATCGACTTGAGAATGGTCCAGGACGGACCGAAACGTCGTCGTCCCTTCACCTTCTAGTGTGTGGTCTGGTCAACATACTTCAGACACGTTATTGTGACTCATCGCCTGCACTTCAGACATGAGTATTGACAGTCCATATTTGAATAAACAGATGCATTAAGGAATATAGATAGATGCCAACACACAGGCGTGACTGATATAGCTAAACTTGTACTATATAGAGACGTATAGACATACCGACGGCATAGCCAGATATACAGAAATTGACTAGCAGACAGACAGACACTCAGACAGTGCCTGGTGCTCAGACATAGACGCAAACGACGGGACAATAAATATCAAACAAACAAACAAATCATAACAAGCACACAACCTAGACAAATTAGACCGACATAAAAACATAGAACAAATGAAACTAACAAATCAAAGAGGGACATGCATTAACATTCACAAAAACACAAGAAATCGATGAACAGCAGTTCAGGGAAGCGAAGAACACGCGATAACACAGTATGTTAATGAAATAACATTACTTTCATTATAAATTATATATTTATTATGCATATGAGAAATGTATTGGCATTGTACACGATGGAAGATTCAATACTGGTCATTCATTGTATTTTATAATGACAAATGTATTGAGGTATGTGTGAGAGTTGACACACACACACACACACTCACACACACACACAGACACACGAATGAAAGATCATGGCACATGTGGACACATGATAACATGTATGTGAGTGTGTATGTATCTGTGTGTGTGTGTGTGTGTGTCTGTGTGTGTGTGTTGTGTATGTATCTGTGTGTGTGTGTGTGTATGTGTGTGTGTGTGTGTGTGTGTGTGTGTGTGTGTATGCGCTTCTGTGTTTGTCGTGTACATACATACAGTCAAACATTTAATTAAACTAAACAAAATAATAGAGACCTGGAGGTAGCTCAACGTAATAAACCCATTATACATTTTTCATAATAAAAAAATATTATCTCATTCATTTCTTCATAACATTACACGAATACAAAAACAACACACTTATATGAAAACAATATATATATATATATATATATATATATATATATATATATATATATATATATATATATATATATATATATATATATATATATATATATATGTCTCTGAACTTGACAGGTTATCCCTGTAACTTATGACAGACACTTAAAGGAAAATGGACATGCAAGTACGAAGCCATGGTTCACCGGCTGGCGAGTCAATTAAACTGTACCTGGTAGGATACCTGCCTGTTAACACATACACCTGGATTGGAAGTTTGTGAGTAAATAACTGAGGTTATGTATATATATATAAAAAAAAAGCTCTTTGGCAGAGGTCAGAGTTGCTAAATCCCCTGAGGTCTCCAACACAATTATAGGCTGTAATTAGTGATACAAAATAATGCTCGTTATAACCCACTTCAGGTGGGGTTACATTGCTTAATTAATAATTTTGTTTATGGATGAGGTGAAATGGAACTTTTCATTCTCTTGCGGCGGGACAGCTGGAGTTCTGTCGGTGGGAATGGTGAGAGTCACACAGAAGGTGCAGGAAGGTCGTCAGTAGGCCGGGGTCATACGGAACTTTCCCTCCTGCACACGTCTGGGTTGGGCGGGGTGTGGAAAGTGCGCTTTCCTGCCGGACTGACAACGGTCTGACCTTCTTCAGACCGGCTGTACAAGGCCGCGACGGAGGGAGGAAGGTTCGACGGGTGTTCCAAGACCCCGTCCTTCCTCGCCATGGCTTTTCTCAAGGCCTTCGTCCTGCTGTTTTTGGCCGCGGCCTTAGGGAGAGTCACGGGTTTGGTGGGCAGTGCCTGGCTCTCACAGGAGTCCGAAACTTTGACACTAGGAAACACTGGCGCACAATGTCTGCTGCCACCTTTCATACTCTTTCCCTCCGAAGTTCTAGTTACTAACATAATTTCCCCGTGTTCCCCCTCCACTAGAGTAACAGACTTCCCTCTATCTGATCGCTCTTTCACTCTGTGTTTACTTTGGTCTTGTACGGGGAAGTCTTTGGATACATGCACACACTGTAAGTCTTTGGCCGATACTGGGCGCACTTTTTGGCTAGTCTTTTTAGGCTGTGAACGATTGGCTGCCTCTCTCGATCTCCGTTCGAGGCTGGTGTGTGACTTCTGAGCCTCTCCTGGCGAAATAGGGAGGCATATCACTTCTCTTTGCGTCGTGGGAGGTTTCGAACCCCAGGTATCTTCAGCTGTCAATTCTCCGACCGTAGACGGCACTCGAACATCTGAAGGGGAAGCTCTCGCAGTCCGAACCTCCCCGGAAGACGCAGGAACCAATTTCAGCTCCCTGCAGGAAGCAGGCTTAAGACGCAACTCCGCAGCCGAGAGGGGAGATGCCTTATAATCTCTGGAGACAAATGGCTTTAGTCGTATTTCTACGGGTGATGATTTCTTGGAATGGAGGTCTGAAGGCAAGGGTTTGGCCCTGAGGTCCAGATGTGCAGCGGAGCCCAGACGCATTTCTGCATCTGGTGACGTCTGCGAGTACGTGACGTAGGCTCGACCGCTATCGGGATGCTGTCGGATAACCGCCTCGACCTGATCGTCTGACATGAGTTCCCTCAGTTCTGAGTCAGACTCCGACTCTGACACTCCGGAGTCCTCGCTCTGAGTGTCAGTAACTGCATCATCCTAACAAGGGGGAGAGAGAGGCTTCAGTCAGTACATAGATAATGTTCTCAGTTAATATGGCTCAGAAAAATTTAAACAAAAATTGTATTAATTACATATCAACAAAAGAACATTTAATATGTCATATATACATTTGAGAATAAGACGGAGAATGTGATGCTAGAAGGAAGAGTTAGGAGCTCACCTGTCTGTTGTGGCTGGCATGGGACATGGCGTGGTGGTGGTGGTGGTGGTGGTCTCTACCGAGCCGCCGGTGTCCGCAAGAGCAGATATCGCTGTCTTCCTGTCCCTCGCAAGCCCGGTGTATGTACGGGCACGACTCCCGCGGCGTCTGCGACTCCGAATCATCGTCATCATCGTCGTCGTGCAGTCGATGGTGTTCGTACGAGCGTTCGTCGTCTTGGTCGTCGTCCTGCGGGATGACATCGAGGCTCGGAGGGCGTCTTTGGATCGAAGCCACGACGTCAGGGTCGAAGCCCTCGCCCATCGTGGGCGTTAACGGCACTTCGATGGAGACCTTCTGCGGGCGTCGGCGGGTCCTCACCTTCTTGGCGACGACCACGCCCACTATCAGCAGCAGCAGCAGCACGCCCACCAGCCCCAGGGCGGCTCCCAGGATGGGCGGGATGTCCACAACGCCCGCGGCATCTGATGAAAAGCCATTTTCCTTATTTGTGTATTTAGAGAAAACGGAGCTAATTTGAGCATATTTTCATGAACATTTTATTAATATAACTTTAATAATTTTATTCCATGTTTTTTTTTTCATTCCTTGATTGGATTGCTTATTATATATTTATTTTACTCATAATATTTACATTACATATGATCTACTAGTGAAAATGCTTAATTCTTTTTTAAATTTTATATTTTATCTAATTTAATACTTTAATTTGATTTTAATGTGTTTAAAAGAAATTTTTGTATATCGTTTCATTTTATTGATATAATAGAGAGAGAAAGGAACACAAAGAGAAACATAGAGAGAGAAAGTTAGAGAAAGAGACAGAGACAGATAATTTACTGCGTGAAAAATACAGGATGAAAAGATTATCAACAAAATTGAGTTGAGTGGAGTGTCAGTTGTGGAGTGTCAGTTGTGGAGTGTCAGTTGTGGAGTGTCAGTTGTGGAGTGTCAGTTGTGGAGTGTCAGTTGTGGAGTGTCAGTTGTGGAGTGTCAGTTGTGGAGTGTCAGTTGTGGAGTGTCAGTTGTGGAGTGTCAGTTGTGGAGTGTCAGTTGTGGAGCGTCAGTTGTGGAGTGTCAGTTGTGGAGTGTCAGTTGTGGAGTGTCAGTTGTGGAGTGTCAGTTGTGGAGTGTCATTGTGGAGTGTCAGTTGTGGAGTGTCAGTTGTGGAGTGTCAGTTGTGGAGTGTCAGTTGTGGAGTGTCAGTTGTGGAGTGTCAGTTGTGGAGCGTCAGTTGTGGAGTGTCAGTTGTGGAGTGTCAGTTGTGGAGTGTCAGTTGTGGAGTGTCAGTTGTGGAGTGTCAGTTGTGGAGCGTCAGTTGTGGAGTGTCAGTTGTGGAGTGTCAGTTGTGGAGTGTCAGTTGTGGAGTGTCAGTTGTGGAGTGTCAGTTGTGGAGCGTCAGTTGTGGAGTGTCAGTTGTGGAGTGTCAGTTGTGGAGTGTCAGTTGTGGAGCGTCAGTTGTGGAGTGTCAGTTGTGGAGTGTCAGTTGTGGAGTGTCAGTTGTGGAGTGTCAGTTGTGGAGTGTCAGTTGTGGAGTGTCAGTTGTGGAGTGTCAGTTGTGGAGTGTCAGTTGTGGAGTGTCAGTTGTGGAGTGTCAGTTGTGGAGTGTCAGTTGTGGAGCGTCAGTTGTGGAGTGTCAGTTGTGGAGTGTCAGTTGTGGAGTGTCAGTTGTGGAGTGTCAGTTTGTGGAGCGTCAGTTGTGGAGTGTCAGTTGTGGAGTGTCAGTTGTGGAGTGTCAGTTGTGGAGTGTCAGTTGTGGAGTGTCAGTTGTGGAGTGTCAGTTGTGGAGTGTCAGTTGTGGAGTGTCAGTTGTGGAGTGTCAGTTGTGGAGTGTCAGTTGTGGAGTGTCAGTTGTGGAGTGTCAGTTGTGGAGTGTCAGTTGTGGAGTGTCAGTTGTGGAGTGAGTGTGGAGCGTCAGTTGTGGAGTGTCAGTTGTGGAGCGTCAGTTGTGGAGTGTCAGTTGTGGAGTGTCAGTTGTGGAGTGTCAGTTGTGGAGTGTCAGTTGTGGAGTGTCAGTTGTGGAGTGTCAGTTGTGGAGTGTCAGTTGTGGAGTGTCAGTTGTGGAGCGTCAGTTGTGGAGTGTCAGTTGTGGAGCGTCAGTTGTGGAGTGTCAGTTGTAAAGGGTTATAGAGCTGTTGAAGTCAGGTGTGGAATGAGGAGCATACTTTAGGACAGGAATTGGTAAACATGCAAGGACACCTTTTCCCAGCGGTCTTCAACGGTCTCCAGCGGTCCCCATCGGTCTCCAGCGGTCCCCCAGCGGCCACCAGCGGTGTCTATCACGGTGGTAATTAAACCATAACAAGAGATATGACTTGCAAATGTGGGGAACAAATATCTTGTGTGATTTTCGATTAAGCGAACAGGTCACACTCGTGTATTTTGAGCGCATTTGCACGTTGGCGGGGCTGTATTTACTATTTGTCTTGTGCAGGATCGAGGTATTAGCTCTTGGACTCCGTCTTTCTAACCGTCGGTTCTCTAATGTACTGACTCGACACGACTTTTTTTCTCTATCGTATCTACAGTTGAAACTGTGTGTGTGTGTGTGTGTGTGTGTGTGTGTGTGAGAGAGAGAGTGTGTGCGTGTGCGCGCGAATTTTTCCACTTCACGAAATAACTATATATCTAACCCTCCCTTTCTCCTCCGTTTTCTTTAACCCTTCCCTTTCCAACAAAGCCAAATTGCCTTTTATGAGTCTTGTACGGTCAATTAATGATCGTAGCGTATTATCCTCATTAGCGCTAATTACCAATTACCAGCCAGTGGGGCTTATCGGGGAATTTCAAATCTCTGAACCCCTGGTTTCAGGAACGATCAAAGTCGTCATAAGAGTGAAATAACATCGTTATCTCCTCCATTTATTCATAAACAAGTTCATGACGCTAGGAGAACAACGCTCTCAAGTCAGGAGAACAAGCTCTCAGGTCAGGAGAACAACGCTCTCAAGTCTGGAGAACAAGCTCTAAAGTCAGGAGAACAAGCTCTCAAGTCTGGAGAACAAGCTCTCAAGTCAGGAGAACAAGCTCTCAAGTCAGGAGAACAAGCTCTTAAGTCAGGAGAACAAGCTATCAAGTAAGGAGAACAAGCTCTCAGGTCAGGAGAACAACGCTCTCAAGTCTGGAGAACAAGCTCTCAAGTCAGGAGAACAAGCTCTCAAGTTAGGAGAACAAGCTCTCAAGACAGGAGAACAAGCTCTCAAGTCTGGAGAACAAGCTCTCAAGTCAGGAGAACAAGCTCTCAAGTCAGGAGAACAAGCTCTTAAGTCAGGAGAACAAGCTATCAAGTGAGGAGAACAAGCTCTCTAGTTAGGATAACAAGCTCTCAAGTCAGGAGAACAAGCTCTCAAGTCAGAAGAACAAGCTCTCAAGTCAGGAGAACAAGCTCTAAAGTCAGGAGAACAAGCTCTTAAGTCAGGAGAACAAGCTATCAAGTGAGGAGAACAAGCTCTCTAGTTAGGATAACAAGCTCTCAAGTCAGGAGAACAAGCTCTCAAGTCAGGAGAACAAGCTCTCAAGTCAGGAGAACAAGCTCTCAAGTCAGGAGAACAAGCTCTCAAACCAGGAGAACAAGCTCTCAAACCAGGAGAACAAGCTATCAAGTCAGAACAAATATATAAATCACCGGAAGAAAATGGAAATGGCCTTCGGAGCCCGTCCGAAACAAGTTCGGAACTGTCTCGAACGGGTGTCAAAGGTCAACTGGGTCATATCTGGCCTTACCAGGAGCCGCATGCTGTTGGGCGCTGGTCGTGTGTACCTCCATCACTAGCTGGTCGCTCCTACCGCGGGCGTTGTGGGCGGATACCCTCAGAGACACGCCCACGCCCGCCCGCAGATCAGTCACCACCCACTCCGGGTACTCGCTGCGGGCAAGGGGGACCATCAGATTAAATATTTTGGGGTGAGACATTTAGTTAAGTAATATAGAACTATGGGAATTTCAACTACAGAGAATTGAGGTGTTCAAAATTAATTTATAGAGCATTGAGGTGTTCAAAATTAATTTATAGAGCATTGAGGTGTTCAAAATTAATTTATAGAGCATTGGGGTGTTCAAAATTAATTTATAGAGCATTGAGGTGTTCAAAATTAATTTATAGAGCATTGAGGTGTTCAAAATTAATTTATAGAGCATTGGGGTGTTCAAAATTAATTTATAGAGCATTGGGGTGTTCAAAATTAATTTATAGAGCATTGAGGTGTTCAAAATTAATTTATAGAGCATTGGGGTGTTCAAAATTAATTTATAGAGCATTGGGGTGTTCAAAATTAAATTACAGAGCAAAGAGGTGCTCAAAATTTATTTATAGAGCAGTGAGGTGTTCAAAATTAGACTACAGAACATGGAACTGTTCAAAATAAACCTACATAATATAGAACTACACAAAAAACTATTCAGAACACACAACATCATATTATGGAGATGCCCTAAATTGCCCTAAATTGAATTGCCCTAAATTGAATTGCCCTAAATAAATAAATAAAAATTCTGAAATTTTTTCTTAAAAAAATTTCTGAAAATTATAAAAGGAAAAAAAATAAAAAATTCTACAAAAAAATATTTCAGCTATAAATGAATCTACAAAAAAAGCCAGACAGTGAACATTCATTAACGACTTTGTTACAGTGAATAACTTTGACAGGAGGCCTGGTCGACGACCGGGCCGCGGGGACACTAAGCCCCGGAAGCACCTCAAGGTAGACAGTGCACCAGTGAATGTCGACATAAATCCATATTTTACTACATCATTTTTATACTTTCTATTTCTTTAAAATTGTCAATGCCGTCAAAAAAAATTAACCCCCCCAAAAAAATCTATCATTATACATTATTGAAGCAATTTTTTTATTTTAAAATAAAATATAATCCTTCAGCTGACAAGTCTACAATTTAATATTTTACTTAAAACAAGTAAAAAACTTTATGTATTAGCTAATAAAAAGGAACAAAAATGTATAATTGCGACAATAAAAAATATACATGGTTATAAAAATTATACGGAAAAAGGTATAATTACTGAATTAAACAAAAATGTTAATATTTCTGAAAATGTCCAAAACGGCAAAGAAAGTTTACCCCGCGTCTAAAAACCTCAACTTTACTCCCCACAGGAAAGAAACTCTAGCCATTCAGAGGAAATTAAATGCTTCTGTATTTTTTCCCGGCGCCTCAAAATGCGACTCATTAGGTCAGCGTAAAGAGGTGATTATTGGAGGCAATAGACTAGGAGAAATATTATTTGTCTTGGTGGTGGTGGAGCAGTGTTGGGGAGAGTAGTGGTGGTGGTGGTGGAGCAGTGTTGGGGAGAGTAGTGGTGGTGGTGGTGGAGCAGTGTTGGGGAGAGTAGTGGTGGTGGTGGTGGAGCAGTGTTGGGGAGTAGTGGTGGTGGTGGAGCAGTGTTGGGGAGAGTAGTGGTGGTGGTGGTGGAGCAGTGTTGGGGAGAGTAGTGGTGGTGGTGGTGGAGCAGTGTTGGGGAGGAGAGTAGTGGTGGTGGTGGAGCAGTGTTGGGGAGAGTATAGTGGTGGTGGTGGAGCAGTGTTGGGGAGAGTAGTGGTGGTGGTGGAGCAGTGTTGGGGAGAGTAGTGGTGGTGGTGGAGCAGTGTTGGGGAGAGTAGTGGTGGTGGTGGAGCAGTGTTGGGGAGAGTAGTGGTGGTGGTGGGTAGTGGTGGTGGTGGTGGAGGGTGAGAGTAGTGGTGGTGGTGGTGGAGGGTGAGAGTAGTGGTGGTGGTGGTGGAGGGTGAGAGTAGTGGTGGTGGTGGTGGTGGTGGAGCAGTGTTGGGGAGAGTAGTGGTGGTGGTGGTGGTGGAGCAGTGTTGGGGAGAGTAGTGGTGGTGGTGGAGCAGTGTTGGGGAGGAGAGTAGTGGTGGTGGTGGTGGAGCAGTGTTGGGGAGAGTAGTGGTGGTGGTGGTGGAGCAGTGTTGGGAGGAGAGTAGTGGTGGTGGTGGAGCAGTGTTGGGGAGAGTAGTGGTGGTGGTGGTGGTGGAACAGTGTTGGGGAGAGTAGTGGTGATGGTGGTGGAGCAGTGTTGGGGAGAGTAGTGGTGATGGTGGTGGAGCAGTGTTGGGGAGAGTAGTGGTGGTAGTGGTGGAGCAGTGTTGGGGAGAGTAGTGGTGGTGGAGCAGTGTTGGGGAGAGTAGTGGTGGTGGTGGAGCAGTGTTGGGGAGAGTAGTGGTGGTGGAGCAGTGTTGGTGAGAGTAATGGTGATAGAGCAGTGTTGGGGAGAGTAGTGTTGGTGGAGCAGTGTTGATGACAGGGTTAATAGGATTGGTGAAATAGAGTACATACTGGTCTCTCTATCTAAGTTTAACAAATCCAACCTAAGTGTGACGAGTCCAACTTAATTTTTTCGACTCCAACTACGACTGACGACATCAACCTAAGCTAAGAGACACCTACTCAAGTTTGCCGTTTCGTTGCCAATTCGTAAATAGTATCTTTACTCTATATTAGTAGTCTGTTGCTCAATTGTATTTAACCTTGCAGTTCCCTAATTCCCTTACTGAGTACAAGTAGATATAAGCAGTTCTTTAAGTTGATTTTCGAGTGATATTAATTTAACATTAAGTTAGAAATTATTGTTTTTACCTTGACAGTAAAGTTACCCCCAAAAGCTAAAGATGTTGTTTTATAACAAGGCGAATTGTGTGTGTGTTTGAACACACACACATATTAGTAAAACACAGAACAACGGAAAATTCGTCCTTTATTGTCACTATATTTAATTGGGATCCTTGAAAAGTAGTTTCAAATATAAGCAAGTAAGTAATTATCAAATGAAGGCGCCCAGCCAAGGGGGGGGGGGACCAAGTAGCGTATATGTAAAGTTAATTAAGTACTTTGCATGTTACTTACATACAAGTTACGTTCATGCATGACTTAGGTACAAGCAAACTAGTTTCTTGCTGGTTCTCTGACCTGGTCATATTAGCGATGAGGTCTCCTTGCTGCCACACCTCCATCAGGAAGTGTTGGGGAAGTCCTCCGTCGAAGCCCTCCAAGCAGGTGATGGAGAGGGAGGCAGTGTAGGGGTGGTTGGGCGGCCTGCCTGGGGTGGCAGAGTGGGCGGTGGGCGGCTTGCCAGGGGTGGCAGAGCAGTTAGTGGGCGTGTCTGGGGGCCCGGCCGGCACCAGGTTCACCACGCAGGTTGTGAGTTGACTGCCGACGGCGTTGGCGGCGCTGCAGAGGAGTCTACCGTAGTCGTCGGGTGTGTGAGGTGTGAGGAGGACACTGGAGGTGAGTCCCTCACTCCTCACGTCCTCACGAGGCACCTCCTCCTCGCTGCCATCCGCCCGCTTCCTGATCCACGTCCAGGTGAGGTCGTGTGAGGGTTCAGCTTCTACTGTGCACTTGACCGCTGCCGTCGACCCCCTGGCGGCGCCCTGGGTCCTCTCCCGCTTGTCCCCGGCACACACCGGCGCGTCTGGCGACAACACAACTGTTATTGTTGGCCTTCAGTACTCACACTCGTAACACATCTCTCAATCATTACTAAAGTGTGTATTAATAAATGCTTGATATGCGAGGGATTCTTATATGAGCACTTCAGGTGAGGAGCAGGTATGTGGTGGCTACCCACACACACACACACACACACACACACACACACACACACACACACACACACACACACACACATACTCACATAATGCAGGAATATGCAGCCCCAGCATGGAGTCCATATCTAGTCAAGGATAAGACTAAACTGGAAAAGGTTCAAAGGTTTGCCACCAGAGCTGAGAGGTATGAGCTACGAAGAGAGACTACGGGAATTAAACCTCACTTCGCTGGAAGACAGAAGAGTTAGGGGGACATGATCACCACATTCAAGATTCTGAAGGGAATTGATAGGGTAGATAAAGACAGTCTATTTAACACAAGGGGAACACGTACAAGGGGACACAGGTGGAAACTGAGTGCCCAAATGAGCCACAGAGATATTAGAAAGAACTTTTTTAGTGTCAGAGTGGTGGACAAATGGAATGCATTAGGAAGAGATGTGGTGGAGGCTGACTCCATACACAGTTTCAAGTGTAGATATGATAGAGCCCGATAGGCTCAGGATTCTGTACACCTGTTGATTGACGGTTGAGAGGCGGGACCAAAGAGCCAGAGCTCAACCCCCGCAAACACAACTTGGTGAGTACACACACACACACACACGACACTGGAAGACAGAAGAGTAAGGGGAGACATGATCACAACCTACAAAATCCTCAGAGGAATCGACCGGGTAAACAAGGATAAACTATTCAACACTGGTGGGACGCGAACAAGGGGACACAGGTGGAAACTGAGTACCCACATGAGCCACAGAGACGTTAGAAGGAACTTTTTCAGTGTCAGAGAAGTTAACGGATGGAATGCACTAGGCAGTGATGTGGTGGAGGCTGACTCCATACACAGTTTTAAATGTAGATATGATAGAGCCCAGTAGGCTCAGGAATCTGTACACCAGTTGATTGACAGTTGAGAGGCGGGACCAAGAGCAAAAGCTCAACCCCCGCAAGCACAAATAGGTGAGTACACACACACACACACACACACACACACACACACACACACACACACACACACACACACACACACACACACACACACACACACACACACACACACACACACACACACACAAGGTAGCCAAGCCAGGCAGTTTCATAAGGTAAGAATATAAACATTAATTCCAGCAGCTTATGCTGTCCAGTACCTCTTTCACTACAAAGACTGACAAATGGCCACAGTTCGAGCCAAGAAAGGACCTCTTAATAACATTCGCTTCTCAACTGAGTACGGTAATCGATGAGACCGTAATATTTAAAAGGAATTCGGTATTCCGTGAAGATGTTAATATCAGATGAGCCTTCCAAATGAGCGGGTTATTGGAAGGTTGTGTACCCTCCAGAGTGGTCGAGACCAAGAGACGAGGAGAGAGAGAGAGAGAGAGAGAGAGAGAGAGAGAGAGAGAGAGAGAGAGAGAGAGAGAGAGAGAGAGACAACACCTGAGTTAGAATGAGAGTGTAGGACACGAACCAGTGCCAGCAACAGGTCAAGACGTATTCACCAGTACCAGCACGCCAACAACACATTGACACACACACACACACACACACACACACACACACACACACACACACACACACACACACACACCACACACACACACGCACGCACGCACGCAAACAGATAAATCTGTCATATCAGAACCTAGAAAGATAAAACGCTTCAATAGTAATCCTACGTAGATACTGAAAAACAAAAAAAATGGAGATTACTGACGGGCTGAAACGCAGGCAGCAGTAATAATGGAGTCTGATCACAAGTCAACAAGCGAATTACGTAGTCAAGAGCAAGATTTGCAGTAGATCTTATAAACGCACAATCGCAACTCTGAAAATTTGGAAACCGATCCTGAGAATTGAACACCGCGTCTATCGTGGATAATGAGAGAGGCGATGATTGAGCTACCAGGCTTCCGCCGGCGTGAAGCACCAATAACAATTGTCCATGAACCAAAATTAATTCTGCTTTGATTATTAGTATGTTAATTTTTTGTGAGCCTGATTTTTTTGTTTTCTTTTAACCTTGCTGGTATTGCGGGTATATACAGACTTGGTTGGTTGGTATATATATATATATTATATAATATATATATATATATATATATATATATATATATATATATATATATATATATATATATATATATATATATATATATATATATATAAATATATATGTGTGTATCTGTACATTATCAGACTCGGCAAACTCCTCTCACCCCCCCCTGTCTCCCCCTCCCCTTCCTAACTCCCCTCTCTTCCCCTCTCTCCCTCTTCCCCACTCCTCTCTCTCCCCCCGCCCCCACCACCCACACAATTCTACACCTCGCTGTTGCTGTTTTATTGAAAACACTCGCGAATTCCACATTTGTGGGGTAAAAAAAAAAAAGGCGAAACGTAGTCCCAATATTTTAAAATGGGGGATAGACAGGTGACACTATTTTGCAGACCAGTGTCACTGTCAATGTCACTGTCATTGTCACTGTCACTCACTGTCGCTGAGATATATGTGTCGTTGTGCTCTTGATTGGGGGCACACTATATGGGAGTCACACCCACATATCAGCGTCAAGATTGTTCAAGCATTTCAGCAACTAATTGCGAAACCTTTACATCTCTCAACAAACATGGCGGCTTTGTTTGCGTTCATAAACAAAAAGTTAATTAGCTTAGAGCGCTATACACAGTAGTTTATAACAATAACAACATCGAATTGTGATGATTTGTGACGGATTGTATCACTTCGTGACGTTATGTGACTGATTGAGATGTTATGTGACTGATTGTGACGGATTGTAAAACTTCGTGACGGATTGTGACGTTATGTGACGGATTGTAATGCCTCGTGACAGATTGTGACTTTTTGTTACGGATTGTGACGTTTCGTGACGGATTCAGACATTTTGTGACGGAATGTGACGTTTCGCGGATCGTATGCTGTTTACAAAATGTAAACCTTGCGACAAAAATTGCTGGAAGATGTACAGGTTTCGCAAATGACTGATGATAAGTCCCGACCGTGATGAGGGAGTTTTTATTATTATTATTATTATTATTATTATTATTATTATTATTATTATTATTATTATTTTCTACCACAGACGTGGCCACACATTTACAATGCTAACCGGCATATATACATTTTCTTCTGTCCTCCATGGACAGGGCGAGAGATCTGTTAAACATATAGTCCAGGGATTTATTGAACAATCAATAAATCCCTGGACTATATGTTTAACAGATCTCAGGGATTTATTGATTGTTCAATAAATCCCTGGACTGTATTAGAGTGTAAGGTGAGTTTCCAGTTATTGGCAGGTAACGTTGTCAACCACATTAACACCGTCGTTAGTGTGGCTACACTGCAGGTCCTAATTACACCTGAATTGCAATTAACATACTCCCTCAGATATTTCTCTCCTGAGTCGAAGTTCGAACCCTGGACACCCTCAGATTGGCATCCTGATAGAAGAACCAGTCTGCCACGGTGCTCCTGCGTCTAAGGATTTGCCACTCCGTCAAAAATCCCACATTCTATCCTAACCACAAACTCTACCAACCTAAGCATTCCACCTAACCTATGGAGGTTAATGTATAGAAAACGGGGATGTTTGTGACCCGTAACATGTCCACAGTAGGTCGCATTTGTAACGTTTGTTACTATAACGTGTAGAGACCTGGGCACAGGTCCCAGGTCCCAGGTCCCAGGAGTGTGTCCCAGGTGCTCCTGGGACTCACTCGAATGACTCAGTGACGCGTTCGAGCGAGTGAAGTCGCTCGAACGAGTGAAGTCGAAATTTGATGTCTTTTTTCCCCTCCTAACCAGAAGCGTTCGAGCCCAAGCAATCAAGCTAACTTATGGAACCCGATGTTCATTAGACCGTCGGTAATACGGTGCTATTTATCTCACCCCAGCAGAGGACTTTCGACGCTAAGGTCGATTACGTTAAATTAGCGGTGCATTTAGAGGGATTCTCATAAACGTCACTATTACAATGGTTTATTTTTACTTAGAACACCGTCATTTTGACGGTTTAGTCGATAGCGTAAAAAATGCGGTATATATAAGATGGAAGAGAATGTCCTTGAATAAAGCGCAACAGAAAATGGGGGCCTGGTTGTAAACCAGAGTGTGGATCGTGCTCTAGGGGAAGATCTTCATATGAGCTGTGGTAAAGGAGAGTTCTAGCCCTACTAGCATGGGTTAGAAGCCTTCTTCCCTCTCCACCTGTATAGAAGGTAGCAAACATGGAATAAAGAGAGGAGGAAGGAGAAGAGAGAGTAATGGAAGGACTGGAAAAGACTAAGGGGGTGAGAGGCGTCATTGTGAGGAGATGAGGATGCTTGGAGTGGATGCTGCACTCTGGCTGCTGGCGGAGGGACAAGTTGCAGATGAAAAAATACGTGTGAGAGAGAGAGAGAGAGAAGAGAGAGAGAGGAGAGAGAGAGAGAGAGAGAGAGAGAGAGAGAGAGAGAGAGCGAGAGGTAATATTGTCGAGTGATGCATTTACGATTTTTGCTTAAGGTGGTTCTATATTAGTGACCTGGGATGATGAAGTATATTTAACTACTACACTAACTACAACAACACCCACTAACTACACCAACTACAGCAACACCCACTAACTATACCAACAATATCCCCGTAGCAACTTCAGCGAAGCATGTTCATCCCTATGAGCAATAAATAACTTATATATAAATTTAGCCACGTTCTCGAAACCTGAAAGACATATATATATATATGTTAACAATAATCAATAACAATCACTACGTCAATGAAGCAAGAAGTGCTCAAAAGGCATCAATTCTTACAAGTCTTTTTCCCCCATCACAAAATAATAGAAGTTACACAAAGGAAGTTGATAAATGGCCGAAGTGACAGAAATGCTATAAAATATTGGTCCCCCTTTTTGGGGGGACAATAGTTTTGTAGTTCAAAGATCTACTTGTCACGTGTTTGGTCCAGCCTCGGTGCTTGTGTATGTGTGTGTGTGTGTATGTGTGTGTGTGTGTGTGTGTGTGTGTTTGAAGGCCAGAGACTCGTGGTAGGTCTGATACTGGATGGGAATGCGTGCAGAAATTGAGTTACAGGTCAGTGGGTGACGGGTATTGCCGATAGAGAACCCCCCCATCCATCCAGTATCAACAACTGGTACTGGTTATGACTGCAAAGCATCTCCACTTACGGGTTATTCATGCCCGTGCCACCTTTTCGGTGGTTTAATCTTTATCAGTCAATCGGTAACCAAAGGGGGGGGGTGTTGCCTGGTTCTCCTGGGGTAACCATTATATGTATGGGTTATTTATTGTTTGTTGCAGGTCTGTGCTCGATTCCCCGATGGGACAATTAAGTGGCCCGGGACCATTCCTTTATCCCGTTCCATCCTTACTCATACATCCTGTTCATGTATCCTTGCCACGTGCTATTCGTGGAAAGGATATGTGAACGGTGAGTAACGAAAAATTAATCATGGCTTAACGCTTTCAAATGATAATTTTCGTTCCACTTTGGTGTACATGAACTGGGAATCCGCTCTACTCTTATTCTGTTAGGGTGGCCTGGTCAGAGACCGGGCCTCGGGGACGTTGATCCTTGGGGCCAATGGAAGACTTAATAATACTTGCCGATTGGTCAGTACGCTATTGGTGGCCTTAATAACCCTCCTATGGTTGATAGCACCTTGAGACAAACTGGCATGAGACATACTTCGTATTAAGCAGATAGAAGTAGTGTAAAATGGGACAATAACCACATCCAGTACTTTCGGACCATTAAGTTATTCAACACAAGCGATGATTGGTCACTATTACTTCACTGTTGGCTGTTGTACACAAAGCAGAAATTGGAAGACAGGATGTTTCTTGGTTCCTCTCTTGGCTGTGGTTCACATCAGCGTGAGGGGTCGCATCAGGTTGGGGGGGAGGGGTCCAAAGCTCAGAGTAGCAGGCCCGGCCCTCGACCAGGCCTCCTTTTTGTTACACATCCCCTGGGAAGCAGCCTATATTGCAGCTGTCTAACTCCCAGGTACCTATTTACTGCTAGGCGAACAGGTGCATCAGGGGTTAAAGAAACTCTGCCCCTTTCTTTCCCCCTCCGCCGGGAATCGAACCCGGAACCTTAAGACAACGAAACCCGAGCGCTGTCCACTCAGCCGTCAGGCCCCTTAAAGACTTACTTATCTTGACGCAATGGAGTGAAGATGATGACGTTATCTGCAAGATTAATAGTGATTAATGAATGAAATCTTGAGAAGTAGAAACGTTTTGGCTCCATCAAGTGAGCGAATAATCTGTGGTGTGTGACCATCAGCTGGAACCCCCATTGGGGGGTGGGGGGGGGGGGGGGACTGGAGGAGGAATCTCATAGCACCCGGCTGGGACCGGGAGCTAGAGTGTACGGGTCTCCACGTGGGTACGGAGGATGGATATGAGACCATCCACCACCACACCCCCCCCCCTGCCATCCTCTTAAAATGAACGAACTTATAGTAATTGTTTGGTCGAAAGTTCCGGTGAATAGTGATGGTGAAAGATTTATACATTTGAGTTAAGGAAACATTGCACAGGAAGATATTGTACAGGAAGATGTTGCACAGGAAGATATTGCACAGGAAGATATTGCACAGGAAGACATTGCATAGGAAGATATTGCACAGGAAGATATTGCATAGGAAGATATTGCACAGGAAGATATTGCACAGGAAGATTTGCACAGGAAGATATTGCATAGGAATATATTGCACAGGAAGATATTGCATAGGAAGATATTGCACAGGAAGATATTGCATAGGACGATATTGTACAGGAAGATGTTGCACAGGAAGATATTGCACAGGAAGATATTGCACAGGAAGACATTGCATAGGAAGATATTGCACAGGAAGATATTGCATAGGAAGATATTGCACAGGAAGATATTGCACAGGAAGATATTGCACAGGAAGATATTGCATAGGAAGATATTGCACAGGAAGATATTGCATAGGAAGATATTGCACAGGAAGATATTGCATAGGAAGATATTGCACAGGAAGCTATTGCATAGGAAGATATTGCACAGGAAGATATTGCACAGGAAGATATTGCACAGGAAGATATTGCACAGGAAGTTATTGCACAGGAAGATATTGCACAGGAAGATATTGCATAGGAAGATATTGCACAGGAAGTTATTGCACAGGAAGATATTGCACAGGAAGATATTGCACAGGAAGATATTGCACAGGAAGATATTGCACAGGAAGATATTGTACAGGAAGATATTGTACAGGAAGATATTGTACAGGAAGATATTGCACAGGAAGATATTGTACAGGAAGATATTGCACAGGAAGATATTGCACAGGAAGATATTGCACAGGAAGATATTGTACAGGAAGATATTGTACAGGAAGATATTGCACAGGAACGTATTGCACTGGAAGATATTTACATGATGCCCGTGAAAACATTTAATAATATATATGCACTCACAGGAATTCTAAATGAATTAGAATTATGAAATACTCACTCTTACTCACACACACACACACACACACACACACACACACACACACACACACACAACACACACACACACACACACACACACACACACACACACACACACCGAGTGGTCTTGTAGCTGAATAGACAGCTCGCGGGACTCGTAATCCCGTGATCCGGGTTCGATTCTCGGACTAGGCAGAGACAAATGGGCAGTTTCTTTCATCGTCTTGTACCTGTTCACCTAGCAGTAAATAGGTACCTGGGAGTTAAACACCTTTTACGGGCTGCTTCCTGGGTGTGTGTGTGTGTTAGAGAGAAATATATATATATGTATGTAGGAGACATAATGGAGGAAAAATAAATTGGTTAGAAAGGCGGGGTCCAAGAGCTAATAGCTCGACTCTGCAGATATACAAATAGTAAAAAACACACACTTACGCCTGACGGTGAGGTGGACGGCGTTGCTGGTGGTTCGGGCCTCAGTGTTGGCGGCCGTGCAGGTGTAGGAGCCGGAGTGTCGTCGCTGGAGGTTCCTGATCACCAGGTCCAGGCCGTTCATCACCACTCCAGCACTCATGTTGTGCACCAGCTCCACCCCCTGCAACACCCCTTCACACCTTAGTCTCGCTCTCCCGTCTCACCTGCTGCTGCCCTACACTATATGAAGGGTTACATAGTGTGTGTCAAGAGCCAGCTGTGTGATACTAAGGTACCTGGACATTTATACAGCTGCCATAGACTATATGGGGGATTACATAGTGTGTGTCTATAACTGGCTCAGTGAAAATAATGTTCCTCATCTCGCATGATGATTGTCATACCGGAGCAGATGATCAACAACCAGCACTGGCAAGTGTTGAATGCATTATGAGAATATCGTCAAGAACAAGAAAATGAGAAAGAACAAGGATAAAGTAATTACCAAGCCCTAGGTACGTCATACCAACAGGTTTGAAGGCTCTGGGCATTTGGTAATGTAGTGATCATGCCGCAGTTCCTGCTCACAGAGTTTGCACCTAGAGTGCTCAGGATTGGGAGACCCGTCACCTGTTGCCACCTGCCACAGGTAACGGTAACCCAACCTGATCCTGGCAACCACTGTGTCGCACAGTCTGGTCGACGTTTTCAGCTCCTCATACACATAGGTTTCAAATCTGAACCAATCGTAATAATTTTA